GTTTTTTTCTCTGTTGACGAACATTTTTTGGTTTCTCCATATTAATTTTCTCAGGCTATGTAGCTACTTAAAAATCTTGATTTTCTTATAAAATAAAAGAGAAAATGCTTTCATTATTGATGAATGAACTGAATCCAAATGTATTGTCCATCTGCAGGTAAGCGACTATGAATCAGCTAGTGAAGAAATGAAACTCATAGCTTCCGAAGCGATTCTTTTGTTGATAGTCGATATCAGACAATGCGTGAAGTCGCAAAAACGAATTCTGAACGTGAACGTGCGTGAGACAGTCCAGTCTCAATTGCAGATGTTCGAAAATTATTCCAGCGAAATTCTGACGGCTTTGAAAAATTGGATACTGTATGTTGGTACGTCACCATTTTTTTCCTATGATGCCTAAAACTTTATTCAGGACTCGTTAGATACGACTGCTGTCGTTTTTAATTACAGGAAATTCCTACAAAAAGACCAAAATCAATTTGCTGTCGTGTTTCTTGACCTTTTTACACTTCTGCATCGACGAAGACGAACCGGAAATCAATTATTGGCTGGAAGATTTACGTATGGAAAGTGGTGACGCCGAGTCCAAATTATCAAATTCGGTTCTAGTTTTTAGGTCGAAATTGCTGAACGGCGATTTCAGTGATCCGTTGCTGAAGACTTTCAGCGAAGACGCTGCTCCCGCCGATGGTATTTGGAAAGTACGTAACTACTCTGAATAAGAACTTTTTTACAGGCGTCTTCTTACTCACTTGGAGAATATGTTTTAGATGGTTGCGTTGTCAGGACTGCAGCTGTTGATAGATGCTGATCCGAATCATATTACCTTCATCGCGTCGCACGGATACCTCAAGTGCCTGATGCAGAGCATCGTTGAGTCTGACATGAAATTATGTAAATTATTGAATCAAGATTGTTTGCTAGCTCCTCTTTTTGTGTATGAGACAGAAATGGTAATAAAACTTTTCCTTTCTAAAAAAAACTATTCATTGATTGAATTTTGAATAGCTACAACCGAAGAACTGGCCCTCGGGTGGCTTGTTCGGGAAAAAAATTTGGAGTGTAAAATTTATTGAGAAATTTTTGTATTTCTTATTTGCAGTCGTTCATGTGTAAAACTGCCAGTTCCCAACTCGGTGCCGAAAGTCTTCTAGATGAGAAATTTCTGAACGGCCTTTCCACCATGGACGTGTACAATAATCATCCTACAGTTGCTACCTTCGATTTAAAGTGAGTTTACATTTTACGGTGCATTAATTAATTTGAGATGTTGAAACGCCCGCAAAGAATTTTTTCACGCTGATCTACTGAAAATGAAGTATGATGCTGATTGTACGGAAGAGTATTTTTCAGCAATCATACTGAAATTTTTCTGAGAAGTACAATACCCTCGTAATGCGTTGTCAATAATTTAATATCAGATATATGTGTACATAACGCCTGATCAAGGAGATGTGGAATTTCCAGTGCTATTGCCTTTGAAAGAAGGCGCTTTGAACAAAACAATAGATATTCCTCTAAATTTTAAAAAATAATTCAATGCTCAGCTCTAGCTAATTGAGCCGAGGTTAAAGAAAAAAGAGCTGACCCTTTTTAAAAATAGCTACAATTCCATTTTTTAAAAAAATACTTCTAATACACATACAGCAGGTAGGTTTTCGAAAGTATGTATAACCCTATTCCGACATGATGGAAAAGCTCGTCAAATTTCTAAAAAAAAACGTCTCTATATTGTTCATCAAGCCGAATCAAATTAACGGAATGATTCATTTATTGATTTATTATTTTCAGTTCTTCTGGTTCCTTGGACTTCATTCCTAACGTCAGTTCTAAATATTTGAAATTGTTTATGCCTGTTTTGAAACTGTGTAATTCTATTATCATGTCTGTTGGCTGTGAAAATGAAGATGCTGTCGTTCAGGTATGTTATGCCTTTTTATACTCGAAGTACAGCGTGGAAAATGTACTTTGAGCCGGAGGCTCAAGTGTACTAATGTGACTCATTGATTTATACTAATTCGTTAAAAAAGTTGAAGCTAAAATATTCTTCCCGCGTTCTTTCTGTCCCAAGATTATGCAGTTTATATTTAGTCTCAATGAGACGGTTTCATTGATATTACGCAGTGCGTCGCCAAATATAATGCCTGAGTATCTCAAAGAGCTTGCCATGCTGACGTCGGTAATTTCGCCAGTATTTGGTCACTGTAAGTTTTCAATATTTTCCACCGTTAATTTTTTGAAACAGATTTCGAAAAAAAAACCTGCTCTTGATTTTGTTTTAATTCAATTTTTGTGCTCGAACTGTTACTGT